TGTTCGTGGGTCTGCGAACATTGTTGTTGGATACATGTGCTGGATGATTTGTGTCACGCAGACTGGTAAAATAACCGTTTGATAGGGGGTGCCGCGATGATTCACGGGGCCCCTCCTTGCTGTGGGAGCCGCTCTTTGAGCACTCCCTCTTTCTTCCGTGTGAAGGACGGCANCAGTGCGTGTACCGTGCTGCTGCTTCCTACGGATACTACCTGCGATGCAATCGGAGCTTTCGTACATGCTCGTACATGCTGAGGAGTTCAGTTAGATGTTCATGTCTCTACATTGACCTGCTGCCCGCTGGAGCTTTCTCTTACAACGTGAGTAGGGTGGCATACCGTAGTTCCTTAAGGATGCCCCGGTACAAGCGCCGAAGTTTGAGACGGCAGACCAGACGTGAACAATGAGTCATCTGCGCGAGGAAGTCCTCGTGAAGCCGGTCCTTGCCGACCAGTTGCCCCTCGGACAGGTCCACGCGTATCGACTGCATGTGGGCCTTGGTGTAGCGCCACATGAGCCTTGGTGTAGCGCCACATGACGCGGTGAAGCAAGGTATTAATTGCCTGCAACATTGGAGCAGAACCGGGCGAAGAGGTTCCAATAAATCACACGAAAGTATCTGATCGTAGTGGTTAATGGGAACGTTGTGCAATCGATAAGGTGAGTTGTAGACAAGAATTCGCGTACGTTAGTATTTTAAAACATTGTCACATGGCCTTTTCTTACGATGTGAGAGTGGCACGAAAAATGTGGGCGGAAGCATGTCGTGACTAGGCCCGCACGATCCTACGAAGTGGCATATCTACGTTGGAGTTCTACGTACAAGTTATGATTGTCAGGCATGTGTACCTCGGCAGCGGGGTCGATGTCCGCGACCTGCTCGCGGACCCCACGCAAGAGGTCGGCGGCGGTCCGCGGGTTGTTCGTGGCCGCCTCTTCTTCGATCATAGGGATCAAAAAGTCCACGAGGGTGCCGCGCACATCACCGTGCCGCTCTGAGCGGGCCGCAACGACGGCCTTGATGATGACCGCTGTGGTTACGGAGAGAGGGCGGCGAAAGCAGCACTGTGAGGATATTCCTCGCCCACAACACTCTCGGACCCCGGGCTAGAATAGCACCGGGAGAGCGGTTACTTGAACGCCGGAGTGGCCCCGGGACACCACTGGAGCTGCCGCGCGGAGCTTTCTGCGGCAGTTGGTGTATCACTTCTGATCAGTACAGCGCAACCACGTGAAACTCAGTACTCCTCCAACACCCTATCGACGAACCCGGGGAGCGACGGGTAGGTGGTGACATAAACCCTAGTGCAGAAGAACACCTTGCAACAGCAATAGAACAGAGTCGGCATCCCCGTCCATGAGTCCTGCCGTCAAAGTACGGAGAGGGTGGCGGCACGTAGGGATAGGGTGTGCACGGAGTTGTTACAAGATTATTCGAACAGAATTAACATGTCTCGGGCATTTCTGTCTCTGTGTACCAGTTTTTCACGTGTTGCACCTCAAATAGAAATGTGTTCAACAACCGACCGACGACCAATGTAGGGTGCTCCAAAAAAAGGTGACATATCTGACGACTTGCAATGCGGAGTTCATCGAGAACGGATAGAGAGGGCAGTTCCAGTAGCAACGAGCTCAAATCGCGCCATTTTTGTTGTCGAAAGGCCCTCATCGTACACCATTCATCATTGTGCTTCCGTAAACCGCGGCGGGTACAACCGGGGAACGTCCAGACTATACAAGTATGAGTCGGATACACGGAACAACCGCCGCTTCCATTCATCACGCATCTGCTCTGTTTTATTGTGTCCCGTACGTATCTGTCGCGGGGGTCTTATTCCGGCTCTTCTCGTCAAATGTTGGGTTGGGAGTAGCTACAATGTCTGGTCCATATACACATGTTCCACCAACCCATAACCGGCATAACAAACAANGGGGAACGTCCAGACTATACAAGTATGAGTCGGATACACGGAACAACCGCCGCTTCCATTCATCACGCATCTGCTCTGTTTTATTGTGTCCCGTACGTATCTGTCGCGGGGGTCTTATTCCGGCTCTTCTCGTCAAATGTTGGGTTGGGAGTAGCTACAATGTCTGGTCCATATACACATGTTCCACCAACCCATAACCGGCATAACAAACAATCAAAGGCAACATTGGGGCCAACACAAACGTTCGTGCGTTGCAACCGAAATCATAGTTCACTATTTTTGTTTGGGGAACGCATTACTGTTTGTCTTTGTGTTCAGAGTATTGCTGTAGGGAGGAAGAAGAACTCGCGTCGCGGTCAGAACGGAGTCTGAGGAATTTTGACTACCGAATGAAGTACACATTGGGAACAAATGCAACGTTCGCGCGCCTTTACACAACATCGAATTTTAACCGGTGGATGTGGACTACACAACAAAAGAGGTGCTCAAGGCCTTACATCGGTGATCACGACTTTCGGGCACGGCGATTCTCAGAATATCATGTGCGCCAACACGACGGCGCACTTCTCAAACCTGCAATTGCTGCGGCAGGAAAAAAACTTGCTGCAGCTAAGCATCGGATACATGTTTCGATCCTACTTTTATCTCTGTATTAGCATAGCATGTATTATGTGCTTTCTAGACTCATGAAGAGATGAACAAGTTTTTTTTTAGCATGCTGCACGCAAGGGTAGAAACACAACTTGCGTGGTCACGTAAGCAAGCGCAGGCGAACTCTCAACCTACCATCGGTGGGTTTTTAGACTGCAGAGCCTTCTTCCTCTTCGAGGCCGACTTGCGTCGGCCCGCGCCCTTGGTCTTGGCCACCGGCTCCTCGCTGGGTGTACGGGATGCCGCAGCCTTGACCGTCCTCCCTCTGGGTTGATGGTTGTTGACATTGACGGCGCTGAGAGGTGACGCAGAGGTCGTTCGGGAAACAGCGCGGTGAGACATCGCAGTAGGAGTATAAGTTGCCGCACGAAGGAGAGAGACGGAAGGGGAGGGCGAAGAAGGTTGTGGAAAGTGTGGGCTGCTGTGTGTGTGATGGTGTTGTGGTGAAAATTGAAAAATAAAAAACACGAGGGGATCACGGCATCAAGACGCAACGAGCGACGACAGCCACACAGGCGCAGTCTACATACGGGTGCACTCGTCCTAGATGATCCCACTCACCTCATTGGCCGCCCTGGTCCCCATCTCCTCCATGTCCACTAGGTGCCCAACGCGTAGCGTACAAGTGCATGAGCGTGCGATATTTGTGACAGGGGGCACTACAGAGTTCTTTTGCTGTTTGTTTTTCTCCCATCATTGGACTCTGTCGTCTCCCCCTCTGGCCCCTATCCTCCACTTCTAC